TAGCATGTATGTGTGAATCCCAGGCTCCCAATTTAATCTATCCCTCCTCCCTTTCACCCAGCAATCATAATGTTTAATTTTTATAATAAAGGGATATTGAATTTTATCAAACACATAACTTTTATCCTTTATTTTATTAATGTGATGTATCACATTTATTAATTCACATATATGTTGAACCATTCTTGCATGGGAAGCATTTCAGAAATATCTTTTTAGGGGCTTAGCAACAAGTTTTCAAATGGACATAGCTACTAGAATGTAAAATAAGCTACTGGCATGTAAAATTAGGCCAAAATAATATTGTGAATGGGTTCTTCCCTGGTAGCTCAGCTGGTAAAGAATCCGCCTGCAATTCAGGAGATGCCGGTTCAATTCCTGGGTCAGGAAGATCCGCTGGAGAAGGTGTGGGCTACCCACTCCAGTATTCTTGGACTTCCCTGGTGGCTTAGCCAGCTGGTAAAGAATCCCCCTGCAATGCGGGAGACCTGGGTTTGATCCCTGGGTTGGGAAGATCCCCTGGAGAACGGAACAGCTACCCACTCCAGTATTCTGGCTTGGAGAATTCCATTAACTATTCCATGGGGTTGCAAAGAATTGGACATGACTGAATGGCTTTCACTTTCAATATTGTGAATAGTTACTACTCTAATAGACATCAAATGTATAGACCATTTACACCATCCCAGAAAGTTCTTTTGGATACTGCTGTTTTGTATTATTTTATGTAATGAGAGATTGAATATCATTACAGTAAAAGTTTTAAGAATCACTCTTTGCTAATTACATACAATTTCAGAAGGCCTAGAGTCTTGGAAAGATTGGGTGAACAGTGAAGTGAACAGTACACCATGCTCTTTAAGAAACACTAATCTAATTAACAGTGAGCACTAACCAGTTTTTTTTTTTTTTTTTAAATCCTAGTTCTGCTTTGTGTTGTATGAATTTGGGAAACCTAAAGAGATTCTGTAAGCTCTTACAAAACATTAAAAGCAAACAAGAAACAGCTAATGTGTGTTCACTGTAAATTTTACAGTGTAAAAAATTAGAAAAACCATTTTTTAAAAAGAAAAATCATATTTGTAAAACATGGACTCGCTATCATCCATTTAAGTTCTTTTTGTAACATGATATAATTCATTATATCATCTTACTTCTCTAATTTGATCCACTTTATATTGAGCCACTTCTCTCTTAGCCTCATAACTTTGTTTGACTGAAGTATTAGATCACCAGTAAAAAAAAAAGACCTAAACTTGAGTTTTGTGTTTTTATTTAATTTTAGATTCCCCAAATGTGTTTGTTATAAACAGTAAGGATTTCCCTCGGTGGTTCAACAATAAAGAATCTGCCTGCAGTGCAGGAGACGCAGGTTCCATTCCTGGGTCGGGAAAATCCCCTGGAGGAGGGCATGGCAACCCACTCCAGTATTCTTGTCTGGAGAATCCCATGGCCATAGGTGCCCGGTGGGCTACAGTCCACGGGATTGCAAAAGGTCAGACACAACCGAAGAGACTTAGCATGTATGCACATAAACAGTAAATACATACTTGAAATTTATCACCAAATATGAAACATCTTAGAGGATACAAGTTTACTAGGATAGAAAATTTGAAAAGTTAAGAAAACTTTGAAGTGAAATAGAATTGGATACGAAGGGAGAGTGTGTCAAGAATAATTTCATTTGGTACAGAGATCAAATACCATAAAAACGTCTTTTCTGAAATAGGATTTTTATAAATCAAACATTTTTTTTGTCTTTCTGATAATTTCATTATACAGATTCTTGGCAGAAGAGAATAATCAATACGCTAGAGGAGTTACTTGTGTTGGGATTTTATCTTTGTTTTCTTAAGTAAAGTTTACTGATTATAAATTTCTTACATATAATTTCTATCTGTATGGAACTGGCAACAAGTATAGGAAAGTTGATTTAAGAAGAGTTTTGTGCTATTACCTCTGGTGAGATGACAGTTTCTTTGCTGTCTCCTGCTGTGTGCCTTTCTTCTGCTGCTTGGTATCTGATCAGGGCATAGAAACACGGCAGAGCAGACTTACTTTGAGGTCCAAGATTCTGAAGGCAGAGGAAATTAAAAGTGTGGCTGTATGTTTCATAATATGACTTTTGGCTCCTATATTAAAGTTATCCAAGATAGTTTATAACCAGCTTATTACTTTATATTTAACCAAACATTTCCCTCATTTCCATAAATAGTTAATAAACTTGTTGATGATTTTAATGATCGATGTGTATGAGTATTTAACCATAACCAAGTGTTAAAGTGTTTTCTAAACCAATATCCCCTTTTACCTGAAATAATAAAAACTTTATGCATAGAGTTTGAAACACTAGCTCAGCACTGAACAGTAATTGGCCCTCTGTACATTTTGAAATGTTTCTGAGAGAATGAGGAAGAGGTTGAATTTGTATTTGAGTTTATCCTAAATCTAACCATTATTTGTCTTCATACTAGAATTGTAAAATGTATTGCATAATATATATTATATATTATGTAATACATGAATGCCAGATATAAACAAAACTTTCCAGTTCTTCTCTTTCTCTTCCCATTTTGATACAGGTTCTTAGGAGTTTCTTTGCTTATTTACCGAATCCCAATATTTTGATTTCAGTAAGAACTGTTTCCATCAGTTCAGTTCAGTTGCTCAGTCATGTCTGACTCTTTGCGACTACATGAACGGCAGGCAGCATGCCAGGCCTCCTTGTCCATCACCAACTCCTGGAGTCCACCCAAACCCATGTCCATTGAGTCGGTGATGTCATCCAACCATCTCATCCTCTGTCATCCCCTTCTCCTCCTGCCCTCAATCTTTCCCAGCATCAGGGTCTTTTCAGATGAGTCAGTTCTTCACATCAGGAGGCCAAAGTATTGGAGTTTCAGTTTCAGCATCAGTCCTTCCAATGAATATTCAGGACTGATTTCCTTTAGGATGGACTGGTTGGATCTCCTTGCAGTCCAAGGGACTCTCAAGAGTCTTCTCCAACACCACAGTTCAAAAGCATCAGTTTTTCTGCACTCAGCTTTCTTTTAGTCCAGCTCTCACATCCATACATGACCACTGGAAAAACCATAGCCTTGACTAGACAGATCTTTGCTGACAAAGTAATGTCTCTGGTTTTTAATATGCTGTGTAGGTTGGCCATAACTGTCCTTCCAAGGAGTAAGCGTCTTTTAGTCTCATGGCTGCAATCACCATCTGCAGTGATTTTGGAGCCCCCAAAAATAAAGTCAGCCACTGTTTCTACTGTTCCCCATCTAGTTGCCATGAAGTGATGGGACCAGATGCCATGATCTTAGTTTTCTGAATGTTGAGCTTTAATAGTAGTGTATTAATGTGTTGAATGTGACTTGACCTGCTTCAGAATCAAAAGGTCTGGTTTTAAGACCTGGCATGCAGTTAGGTTCTAGAAGATGACAGAATCCAACTCAGATGATTCAGGAGGAGTACAGGGATAGGGATGGAGTAAGAAAACTGACAAAGGATGTGTTTTCGCTGGTTACAGAGGGAAGCTTGAAAGGACAAGGAAAGCTTAGTGTCATTAGAGCCTAGTGAGAGCTGTGGAGAAGTGGGTACCTGACGGGAGCCATGGGTGATAAAGGGACACAGCGTCTGTCACAAAATATGACCAGGAGGAAGGAGGGAATTGGAAGGAAATAGTCCAGCTTTTCTCTGTCAGGGATGGACAGTACTGGAACCGAGGAGATGCTGTTCAGGTCTGCTTCCTTTTGGGCACAGAGTAGGGCAGAAGAATATTGGAGGGACGGGGTAATGGCAGTAAGGTAATAACCAGAACAGCTACTAATAAGAGTGGGACTGACTTAAGGTAATATTTTAGATTCAATTTCTTATCTCTAAACTGCAGATACTTTACTGGGGTTGATGTGGTCATTAAGTGAGCCATATCAAAGTACTCCAATAGTGCCTTGGTCGTGTATTTCTTAGAAGTTTTGATAAGGTGTGGATTTGAAAAGCTCAGCTTTATTTCTCTTGGTGCTGTGCTGCATTTGTTTCATAAGAATTTTGATTGCCACCATACTTTTGAATGTATGTTAGTATATGTGTTTCCCAGTGATTTGGGGGGCTTCCCTGTTAGCTCAGTTGTAAAGAATCCACCTGCAATGCAGGAGACCCCCTGGTACTATTCCTGGGTTGGGAAGATCTGCTGGAGAAGGGATAGGCTACCCACTCCAGTATTCTTGGGCTTCCCTGTGATTCAGTTGGTAAAGAATCCGCCTGCAATGTGGAAGACCTGGGTTTGATCCGTGGGTTGGGAAGAACCCCTGGAGAAGGGAAAGGCTACCTACTCCAGTAATCTGGCTTGGAGAATTCCATGGACTGTGTAGTCCATGGTATAGCAAAGAGTTGGACACGACTGAGCGACTTTCTCTTTACTTCAGTGATTTTTGAGAAGTGAACAGTCAATTGTTCAGTAGTTCCCAGAATTTAGACTTTTTTGATTTACTGCCAAATGAGAGGTTTCACTCTTTTCATTCTTGGTGTAGACAGAGCACTGCTTGCTTCTGAACTTATGGATGAAGTGCTTTTAAGATGCAGAAATTATCTGCCTGGTAAAAGATTGGTCAGACTTCGCTCTCCCACGTCTAACCATTGATGTATCCTTAGTGACTGCTTCTATTTTCTTGAGACAGCAGTGATTTTATTTTCATATTTTTTTCCTCCTAATTCTTACTGTATTTCTTCTCACAGAGATGTGCTTTCTTCTAGCTTTACCTTTGAGCGTTCGTAGGCCAGACCAGAATCAAGCATTCACTGTGTTTTCAGGAAATGTATAGCTACTAGATGATATTTTACTTAAAAGCACTTTTTGTTTTTTAAAAAATTCTCTCACAAAAACTATATTGTGATTTTGAAATTAAATACTTTCTATTTAATTTACAGGCTCAAGTTAGCAGTTTTGTACATTGCAAATTGAACTTTTCTGAATTACTGACTAAATCTTAATTATTTTCCACCAGACGGTCTGCCAAATCACGAAGCAGAAGCCCATATTCATCTAGGCATTCAAGATCTCGTAGCAGGCATAGATTGTCTAGATCCAGAAGTCGTCATTCTAGCATTTCTCCTAGCACACTAACTCTGAAGAGCAGCCTGGCAGCTGAATTGAACAAGAATAAAAAAGCGCGAGCTGCAGAGGCCGCGCGAGCTGCAGAGGCCGCTAAGGCCGCAGAGGCAGCGAAGGCTGCTGAGGCTGCTGCCAAGGCCGCCAAAGCTGCCAGCACCGCTACACCTACCAAGGGGAACCCAGAAGCTGGTGCCAGCGCGTCACAAACCAACCATGTGAAGGACGTGAAGAAACTGAAAATCGAGCATGCACCTTCTCCCTCAAGCGGCGGGACTTTAAAAAATGACAAGGCAAAGACAAAGCCACCTCTTCAGGTAACAAAAGTGGAGAATAATTTGATTGTAGATAAAGCCGCCAAGAAAGCAGCTGTCGTTGGAAAAGAGAGTAAATCTGCTGCTACAAAGGAGGAACCAGTATCTCTTAAAGAGAAAACGAAACCACTTACACCAAGCATAGGAGCCAAGGAGAAGGAGCAACATGTGGCTTTAGTGACCTCTACCTTACCACCTTTACCTTTGCCTCCCATGCTGCCTGAAGATAAGGATGCCGATAGGTAAGTGCAAGAGATTTTGTTGTGACTGGTTAAAGAGAAGGAAATCTCAGTTTGAAATGAGAGATTATTTGACCCTCTCCCCCAGAAAACTTTATGAAAGACTGTTTAGTAAGTGAATTTTTTTTATGGTATACAACTTAAAATGAAGCACACTGCTTGTAGGATGAAAAAATGATAGCTTATGCTAAGAATTCCAGGTAAAAATTGCCATTGTCATGGGATATAATGTATGTTTCAGTTTGGAATTTAGAAATGTCAGTATTTTCTTTGGCTGAATATTCTTTGATGTTATCAGAGACAGGACATTTTATAATAGAATCTGTCCTGGGCGATAATATCATATTATCTTGCTTTTTTCTAAGTGTTTTCACTGACCTTATAAATTTATCACTTTAGGTCTCTTTATGAATACATCTTTTTTTAGTTTTTTATTGACTTAATTTTTTGCAACTAGAGATTAATTACATGTTACAGAAACTTCATAATGTGTTAGTGCTTTCCTTTAAATTATTTATCAATTTCTGCTGTTGGGGTTATAGCTAGTACTTTATTTTGAAACATTTTAAAGAGGATAAAGGTAAGAATGACTAAGTATAAAGGCAGTTCTAAGAATGTTTCTCAAATTGTTCTTGGATGGAAACTTTATGCTCTGTGTGATTTGCCTATTGACTTGACCTTTTTCATTTTTATTTTTATGAAGAAATTATAACTCCCTCTCCCCTTTTTGTTAAAAAACAACTATATGGGCAATTTTTCTAGCTGGCATCTTTAGGGAATTTGAAAACAAGTTGATAAAAATGCCATGTGGGCAGGTCTTCCAAGCCCTCACTTTGGCTAGCTTTATGAAAATTTTGTAATTTAAACAAAAATAAATTATAATTTCATGCCCTCTGAAGCATCTTTTCTCTTGTGTATTTTAAGTACAATCAGAAATGTTGCTGAAGGGACCCCATCCAATTTAATCAGGTGTTATCTAGTTATATTATTCTAATTGTGATTGATATTTGCAGGTTTGACTGTTTTTGTTAGGAACACTGAAGGGACATAACAGTAGTGATTTATGTTTTGATGAGTCCTGGAATAGGTTGTTCAGCACAGAGAGGCATGAGTGCAGAACTGAGTCACTTTATCAGTAAGAGAATAAGCCTGTTGCTTGTTGCTGAGAATCTAGTGATTCTGGACCAGTGAGACTAGTTATTCTCCACTTTACTCTTCATATGTGCTGTAGGGGTAAATTTTACTGGTAAGGCTTCAGGATATGTGCCCAGATGGTGACTGCTTATTAAGAAGGGTATTCTTTGTGCATCTGTTTTTAATAAGATGGTGGCACATTCCATACTTGGTCATTGAAATTTTTTTTGACTCACCTTCTTTGCTATCGTCTTTTTTTATTGTGTCTCTGCTCGTTTTTGCTGTGAATGTTTTTGTATGTTTCAGGGATATAGAAATTTTTTAAGACTCTTGAGTACTACTGTTGACATACATGGCCTAAGATTGATTTAACACTAGTTAACAGCCACTCTTCTTTTTGATGTTCCAAATTTGATTGTCTGAAATTTGGCCAGTGGGAGCTCCTTTAAGCCAACTCCTTTGTCCGTTTGATATGACCCCTTTTATTTTGGAGTTCATTCTTGCTTCCCATCCAAACAATCTTTTAGACTCACTTTGAACTTTGCTTCTCTCCCAGCCCTGGAATCTATTTCTCTCTGAAGATCATAAGATAGACTGTTAACTATACTTTTACATCTAATCATCTTTTTAAAAAAATGAAGATCATACCATTTATAGTATTCTTCCTTTCTTCTTTTAAAAGTTAATGTATTGGAGATCTTTCCACGTTGGCAGAGATAGATTCAGTATTCCGACACATGGAAGTGGATGTATCACTTTCTTATTAATTTTTCTGCTGTTGATTAATGGATATTTAGATTCATAATTGTTTGCTGTTAAATGCTCCTTATACATTAATATTTTATGTACATGTGGAACAATTTATATTGGATAGTTATGTGGTCAAACATCCACATTTAAAAATTTGATAGAAACTGCCAAATTGTGTCTTAATAGGATTGTGTGTCAATTTATGTAGCCAAATGTATAAAATTGCTTCAGTATCACTAAATATTGCCAATTTTGAAATATTGAAAATCTTTAAAATATGTGATTAATTTTGTATTTTTCTGATTATTGAGATATAGCATCTTTCTGAACATTTGTTGGCTATATATTTTTTCCAGTGAATTGCTTGTTCAGGTCTTCTGCTGACTTTTCCTTAAGATTATTATTATTTTTTAAATTGATTTATAGGTACCCCTTATGTTAGAATCTTCATCTGTGCCTGTCAGAGTGTGTTGCTTGTCTTTGAGACTTAACTTATTTTGACTGTGTGAATGTTTTCCATTTTGAATGTATTTGGATCTGTCATTTTTCCATTAAAACTTACGGTTTAAAGAGTTTTTAAAGGTTGATTCACATCTCACAGAAATTTGTTTTTCTTTATTATATGTAGAAGAAAGACATGGTCTGATTATCCACTCTCATCCACCACCTTGTGGACTAATAGATCAGTTGCTGCTACCATCATCTATTGAATACTCTATCTCACTGAATTCTGGTGTTATATATAAAAATTAGATGCAGGCAGGTAATGTAAAAGTGAAGGGATGGAGTAAATAACTGCTTAGTGAACAACCCAACCCTTCAGCCTCAACTTCAATGCTGCTGTGAATGAATTTGGGCCCAGTGTTGGCATTTTTTCCTTTATTATTAGATAAATTTTAAATCATTTGGTTTCTCTTGCTTGATTTTTTGTTTGGGACTTGATTAAATGCAGTGATAAATTTGGAGACTGACAGCTGTACAGAATTAGAACTTCCCATATGAAAACATCGTTTCTTTTGTTTCATTCTTGTCTAGTTTTATGTTTATCAATCATGTTTTAATTTTCTTCTCTTGATCTTATGCATTTCTTGTTAAGGCATTTTATTGTTTTTTGTTACTGTAGTATATGGAAACAAAAAATCATTACATATCCTATTTGGTTATTGCAAGTATTCAGTGTGAATATATTTTAAATTATATAGTGTTATTCTTGGGAAGTGATATTTCATTTCTCCTAAGTCTCGGAGCCTTGTTGAATTTAATAGTTCATATAATGATGTATTTGAATATAGGCAGTCTTTTACATGCTAAATTGTAAGTAAAATAAGACTTCTACTCTGCTCCCCCCATGTTGAATTGTTTTTGTTCTAGCAAAGTTTTGACTAAAGTCTAATTACGAGTTGGAGACTACAGTTTTCTAAGTAAATTATTTTAAATAGATTTATTTTCAGACAGTTCAAGTGGTACCTTTTCTAGAAAAAAGCTTTTGCTGTCTTGCAGTCTTGAGTTGGCTACCCTTTAGTACCATATTACTCTGGAAATTAGTGTGTTTAGTACTGTATCCTGCTGCTTACTGATGTCTTCCAAAGGACTGAAAATTTCTTTCTGAGAAGAACTGAATCTTAATGTTTTTGTGAATTTTTCCTGTTGTTAAACTATAGTGTTTTCTGTAGCATCTACCACATGAACATGGACGGTGAATATTTGTTAAATGGTGGGACATTAAAATTGGAAAGTAGGTTGCACGACACCATTACTATAGAAATAAAACTGCAATCCAATTTCCTTTTGAGCTTGTTTTCCCTATTAGAGGTTACCTTCTAGTAAGTAACCTGGGGTTGTGAAGAAAAGTCATAATTTTATTGATAGTTTTTATCAGATGGTATTTAAAAATCCATATATTTATTGTATAATAATATTAACGTTCAGTGTAAGTAGGAGTGAAAGTTAAGTGAAATGACTTATATTGTTAATGTCAGTAGTAATTTCTGACCACAGCAGTGTAGTTTCATTAAATTTTTTAAATTCTGGGACTTATAACTGTTAGGAAAGTATATGAAGTAAGGCTTCTCTCCTGGCTCAGTGGTAAAGAACCCACCTGCCAGTGCAGGAGACAGGGTTCAGTCCCTGACGTGGAAAGGCCCGCAAGCTCCAGAGCAGCTGAGCCTGTGCGCCGGCACGATGGAGCCTGTGCTCCGGAGCCTGGGAGCTGCAGCTGCCGAGCTGAGCACTGTGGAGTCTGGGCCCTGCAGGAAGGGGAGCCACTGCAGGGAGAAGCCTGTGGACCACGACAGCAGAGCGGCCCCCACCTGCTGCAAGGAGAGAAAACCACAAAAGCAGCAAAGACCCAGCACAGCCAGAAATAAATAGATAAAGTCACATATGAAAAAGGAAAGGGTGTGAAGTCCAGATTTTATTATCGTTTTAAGATTCTCTTTCAACATGTTATATTTGTAATGTCTGGAAGGTTTAAAATAATTACCAGGTTAAGATATACTTTAAAAAATCAGAGCCCTTAATATATTCATAAAAAGTATAAAACTGAGCTTAATTTTCAACTGTAATTCTGATAAACTAGAGTCTTAAAAAAACTTTAAAAAAAAGAATCATTGTCCAATTCAAGAAAAATTTATTCGGAAAAGGGTTGAAGCTAAATCAGTTCTTTGTGTGCGTGCTCAGTCCTGTCTGATTCTTTGCCACCCTATGGACTGTAGCCCTCCAGGTTCCTTTGTGTATGGAATTTTCCAGGCAGGAATTCTGGAGTGGGTTGCCATTTATTATTCCAGGGGATCTTCCTGACCCATTGATCAAACCTAGGTCTCTTGCATCTTCAGCATTGGCAGGTGGATTCTTTTCCACTGACCTACCTGGGAAGCCCTAAATTAGTTCCCTGTGGTTATTTAAGTAGGCAAGATAAATAATAGCATGTGATTTATTTCTTATAACAAAATAGCTTTTTGTCTCTCTACCAGAATCAAACCAAATGCTTTAAAACTAATGAATTTTCCTGTAAAGCATGATTGCTTTAAGTTTTAATTTGTAGTTTTGTAGTAAGTCTGTATCATTAAAAAGAAACATTTTTTAAGAACAGTTTTAGTATTTACAAAAAAGTTAGTGATATTACAGAGGGTTACCATATAGGTTGCACTTGGTTTCATTATTAACATCTAAGAGTATTAGTATGGTACATTTGTTGCAATTAATGAACATAATTATTCATACATTATTAGTAACTGAATTCCATATTTCTCTTAGTTTTCCATTGTTTTTTAATCTAATTCTGTATCATTTTTACTCCCAAATTTTGTATTTTGCAGTTGAATATAGCTGGAAAGTAAACTAGTCTTTTGCCATTGCATATTTCATAGATGTATTTTTATTTCTCAGTGAAATAAATTTTGTGTTTATTCGTAATTCCTTTTTAGCTTGCGAGGAAATATTTCAGTGAAAGCGGTTAAAAAAGAAGTAGAAAAGAAACTGCGATGTCTACTTGCTGATTTACCACTGCCCCCTGAGTTACCGGGAGGAGATGATCTCTCAAAGAGTCCAGAGGAAAAGAAAACAGCAACACAGTTACATAATAAAAGGAGGCCTAAGTATGTGCTTGCTTTCTACCTGCTCTTAAATTGACCAGAGATGATTCTGTATCATCAGAGAAAAAATCATAAAATACAAAATTAAGATTTTTAAAAAGTGTATTTATTTTTTCAGCTTAAGTATATGAATAAATTTTATTGGAGCTTTGGAAATTTTTTTCATAATTGCCTGAGTACTTACTCAAAGTGACTAATAAAACCACAATTGTTTTCTCAGTTTGTAATGTATTGATTTCTTGGGATATTATATGTGTTGAAGAAAACTTCGATAATTAACATATTTAAATGACAGAAATATTGAAATTGGGCATGGTGGAAGTCAGTATTCAGTGAGCCCAGACAAAATTAGAAATGGGCAAGCTGCTATGTTTTCCTTTCCTTTTAGCTCCATTTGCTCCCATAACTAATGCATTCTTCATTTTGCAAGAGGTGGAGTGGAAGAAGGTTTGAAATCTGTATCCTAAATTAGCTTCAAGTAAGTGCCTAGAGATAACTCTTTCCCTTGAAACCTGTTCATCAGTTAAGAAGAGAATGACGATTCCCTTTTTTTTTTTTTTTTTTAAACTTAACCAAAGAAAAGTGTGAGGAAGCCTTTGAGTTAGATCTGATTTTAGAATTGCTGTTTCAGGTAGTGTCTAGTATAAGAATATGAAGTGATTTTCTAGTATAGAGTAGAAAGCTAGAAAACTTAAAATAGTCTCTCCTTGAGTATTGTAGCTTAATTACTTAAATTCTATTACCTGCCAGAATATTAAAAAACTATCGAGTTACATATCTTCTTGATGAGTGTCAAATATTTGTTGTATATATAATGCACACTTTTTAAAAAGTGTGGATTCCTAAGGGATGATTATATTAGTATTTCTATATTCTCTTGACTGAAAGTCTTTCTGGTGCTTCTGTTTTTAAGATAGTTTTATTGAGCCATAGTCTAAACTTGTTAATATGCTTTGTAGTTAGATCTTTGGTAATTTTCATATTTTTAAACTTTTGACTTTTGAAAGCAAATACATATAGATTTGTTGTCAGTGAATGAAAAAGAAAACACTCTGGTGGCTGGTTAGAGGGCTTTGACTCTGGACTGGTGTTGCTTTGGTCCACTCACTGAAAAGTTACGCTGTGTTTCTGAAAGTCCTTCATAAACACTTCACTTCTCTTTCATATTCTGTTAGTCTACAGAAGGAAAGTCAGTATTCAGAAATAATAACTTGACTTTCATGATGATTTATAGTACCAACTCACAGTGTTACTTGTTTTAGATGATCACAAATATACAAGGGTGAGGGGAAAGAAAAGATTGAAGATTGGGTGGAGGGTGGATGCTGAGTATTAAATAGTTTATTCAGTTTGCTTGATTGTATATAAAAACTTCAGAACTATATTTGATAGAATATGTGGGCCTCGCTATGGTGAAATCAAAGAGAAAGATATTGACTGGGGAAAACGCTGCGTGGATAAATTTGATATCATCGGAATTATTGGAGAAGGTACCTATGGACAAGTTTACAAGGCCAGGGATAAAGACACTGGTAAGAATGCCAAGTATTTTGAATCTTTGGGTCTATGGAATGTATTTAGCTCATGTTTCTCTTCTAATGTATAACTTGAGGAAGTTTCCGGAAAAAGTTAAACTTGAATTTATCATGCTCTTGTTTCATCTTATTTTTGGTCTCATTTTATATATAGACTAATATTAAGATATGAGTTCAGGTAACAAGGTATATACATATATATGTTAAAAAAATTTTTTTTTGAGTATTTCTGTTGTGTAATATGGGGGGACTTAGATTTTTTCGGTCAGTAAAATTTTATGTTGTTGGTAATCAAGGTGGAAAGTACCTTGACCTTAATTAGTAAATTTTGTTCTGTTAAGACTTACGTGACACCTATATTTTGCTGCCCTCCCCCAAGTTTTTTTTCTGTAGAAGTTATCCTTTATTTGGAGGCCAGATTTAGCAGTGTAGTCTTTCAGATTATAATGAGTCACCTGAGAGAAAGTTTTAAAAAGCCTTGGAGTAGAGGAAAAAGTATGTTAGAGGTCATATATTTTTCTAATAAATAGTGCTTAGAGCCAGTATTTAATTATTTATAGTTCCTTGTTGATACAAACCAATACATAAAATAGCATAGATGTTTGAGGCCACTTAGTATAAGGGAGACTACCTTATGCATAGAAACTTTGAAGTCAGTTATAGCTTGCAGCAATAAACTAATATTTATAAATATGATTCTGCATTATCAAAAGAGATTGAATTTTAAAGCAGGAATCATACTGTATTTTAGAGTTCTGTTAAGAAGAATCAACTAAGTTTTAATGATTAAAAGTAAAAATGTCCTTCCTTTGGAAAATTTGTAAGTACTGAATTCTTCTTTTTTCCTACAAAGAAGTGGAATGAACAAACTTATTGTAGTGAATTTTCTCTTAAAATAGGATTTCTGTGTGTGTGTTTCAGTACACACACCTGGCTTCTTTGGTAGCTCAGATAGTAAAGAATCCATTTGCTAGCGGGAGACCTGGAATTCAGTCCCTACTGGGAAGATCCCCTGGCGAAAGAAATGGCTGCCCACTCTGGTATTCTTGCCTGGAGAATCCCATGGACAAAGGAGCCTGGCAGACTACAGTCTATGGGGTTGCAAAGAGTCGGACATGACTGAGTGACTAACACTTCAATACTTAGATTATCTGTTACAAAACTCAGTTGTATGAAATCATTTAGTGTTGAGGGAAGAGCACATAGTTTGGAGAGAGCTAAACCAGATTTTAAATCCCAGTTTCACTACTAGATAACTCTGCATCTTTGGACAAGTTAATATGTATGAGCACGTCTTCATATCTGTTTAATGTCCAGAGTTTTCACATCTGTTTAGAGAGATTTTTATACGTGTATCAGCAAATTAGGTGTATATTTAGTGTTCCCTCTTCATTTAAAAAAAAATGCAGTGTAATGTATCAACGCTCATTATCTTGCTTTTTTCATTTAATGCATCTTATCATAAAATAACAATATATTTGGACCTACTGTATCCTTTTTAACAGTTATATAATATTCCATAGTTTGGTAAATACCCCATAATTTATTTAACCAGAGACTTTTTGAACCATAAATTTATAATTTGGCATATTGGAAACCAAAATATATTTTGTGGGTTGTAATTTCAAGGGTAGGGACTGAAATTATGAATTAAAAATTTGGGGAATTCCCTGGTGGTCCAGTGGTTAAGACTCCAAGATTTCTCTTCAGGGGCATGGGTTTGATCCCTGGTTGGGGAACTAAGATTCCCATGAACTGCCTGGTGCAGCCAAAAAGAAAAAATAAAAGTTTAAAATATTATTTGGTTTTGTTAGTTGGTAACCTGATTTTATTTACTTTTCTAATAGGAGAAATGGTAGCCTTAAAAAAAGTACGCCTGGATAATGAAAAGGAAGGGTTTCCTATTACAGCAATTCGAGAAATTAAAATTCTCCGGCAGCTTACCCACCAGAGTATTATCAATATGAAGGAAATAGTGACTGATAAAGAAGATGCTTTGGACTTTAAGAAGGATAAAGGTATGTGTGCATATTTATATAATCAGCTCTGTATATTCATGATGTTGCTAATTTATATATTTTGGTATTGATTAAGTATTTATTAGGTACAGTAAAGCCATTGCCTTAATATCAAACTTATTAAATTTTTTTCTAAAAATTTATTGAATTATAGTTTATTTACAGTGTTGTAATAATTTGTGCTGTATAGCAAAGTGATTCAGTTTTATATTTATATACATTCTTTTCCATATTCTGATATGAATTTCATGTGATGATAAACAGAATATTGACTATAGTTGTTTGTGATATACAGTAGGACCTTGTTGCTTATCCATTATATTTATAATAGTTTGCATCTGATAATCCCAAATTCCCAATCTTTCTGTCCCCCATCTCCCCTCCTCCTCGGCAACCACAAGTCTATTTTCTGTGTCTGTGAGTCTGTTTTGTTTTGTAGGTAAGTTTACTGTGTCACATGTTAGATTCCACATGTAAATGATACCATATGGTGTTTGTCTTTGTATGACTTCACTTAGTATGATCATCTCTGGGTCCGTCTGTGTTGCTATAAATGGTATTATTTCATTCTCTTCTGTGTCTTCATAGTATGTGTATATACCACATCTTCTTTTCTAGTCATGTGTCAGTGGACATTTGTGTTGTTTCCATGTCTTGGCTGTTGTAAATAGTGCTGCTGTAAACACTGGGGTGCACGTATCTTTCTGAATTAATAGTTTTGTCTGGATATATACCCAGGAATCAGATTGCTGGATCATAGGGTAACTCTGTTTTACTTTTCTGAGGAACCTCCATACTATTTTCCATGGTGGCTATACCAGAATTCCCACCAACAGTGCAAGAGGGTTCCGTTTTCTCCATATCCTCTCTAGCAAGTGATTTGTAGACTTTTTAGTGGTGGTCATTTTGAACTGGTATGAGGTAGGTACCTCACGGTAGTTTTGATTTGCTCTTCTCTAGTAATTAGTGATGTTGAGCATCTTTTCAAGTGACTGTTGGCCACTTGTATGTCGTCTTTGGAGAAATGTTTATTTAGGTCTTCTGCCATTTTTCAGTTTGGTTGTCAAACTCTATTTTAAAAATAGCTGTGTTGAATTATTTTACATGTATTACCTTACTGGTTTTTGAGTCACCTAAGTAAATGTCAAAGCATACTTATTAGTATTACACGAAAAGCATTCACTAGTAATGTTTGTTTTGGGGGGCTCAATATATAATTTTTAGTCTTTGTTTTTTAGTGATTGAGAAGCAGTTTATAGTAGTAGTGTTAGAATATATTTATCTTACATTTTTAACGTTATAATGCCTCAACTTACAAGTAAACTTTATGGCAGGATATATTTCTAAAAGTGTGGAGGCAAAAATTTTAACCTGAAATTGCCTTTTGATAAACTATAGTAGTATTTGGTTGACTTTTAGCAAAAAGAGCTGAAAAGACATTAGCGTGCTTTTTGAGGTAGTTAAAAAGTAGTTATAGGATATATGTCGGGTAAAAGAAATGCTCTACCTCCAATAGGTTTTAGATGTTCAGAGTAAGACCAAGGTTGGAGCCCTGATAATTGGTTTTCAAAGAGCAGAATTCGTTTTCAAACTAAATCTGATGTAAAATAGGTTAAAGTAGGTTTGATTGAGCATGATCAAAGGTTTGATTGAGATTGATCATTGAGCTCAATCATGATTGAGCATGATTCTTAGCCTTCTCCCATCCACAGCTGTACACATCCACCATCTTATTCTTCTAGGGACCAAAGTATAAAAATGATTGATGTTATATATAGTAACCATTTCTTATGACGGAACCTATGTTTGAAAGTATTCTGTATTTCTTATGGAGATCATGAGAATCATCTTTTTAATTGACATCACTTTCATTTGTTTTTTTCCCCATAATCAAGCTAATTTCTTTGCCTGACTTTCAACCCAGTTTGCCTTTTTCATGTTAGTTTTCATTATTTCTTACAGTGAAGTAGAAAGGAGACCTGTTTGACTTCGGTTGGAATGTCTGAGATTAGAGACTTAGCTTTTAAATAAGGTCTTTAGCCCTTCTGAGCCTGTTATTTCTTCACCCTTTAAAGGGAAATATTTCTCTTACTGTGTAGTGAGAATTAAGATTTTATGAATGAGGGTGTTGACAGATTCTGCTTTTTATTAATCTTGTACTATAGCCAAGTTAATGTAGTACTTTTCCTGTAACATATTCTGGACTTCCTATTTTTTCTGATCTGTGGATCGCATCCTTGTTTATTTTCCCAAACCCAGCCCAAGTCAGTTTTTCTGATTGCTCACCGAAGTCAAGTCACATTGCTTGTTTGGTCAGATAGGCCAGTGCACTTCTTTGCCCTGCAGCCTTTCTTTACACTGGAATATACCTCTCCAACCCCAACACAAACACATTTGCTCACATTTGCGTGTGCATGCGTGTGCACCCACACACACACGGTTTGAAAGCTAGTTTCTCATTCTCTAGGTCTCTACCTGAGTGTTGTTTAGTGAGGCCTTACCTGACCTTATGATAGAAAGCAAAGGGTAGCTGAAGAGCCTCTTGATGAAAATGAAAGGGGAATGTGAACAAGCTGGCTTAAAACTCAACATTCAGAAATATGAAGATTCTGACATCCAGTCCCATCACTTCATGGCAGATACTTGGGGAAACAATGGAAGCAGTGACAGACTGTTTTCTTGGGCTCCGAAATCACTGCAGATGGTGACTGCAGCCATGAAATTAAAAGATGCTGGTTCCTTGGAAGAAAAGCTGTGACCAGCCTAGACAGCGTATTTAAAAGCAGAGATGTTACTTTGCAGATAAAGGTTCATCTAGTCAAAGCTATGGTTTTTCCAGTAGTCATGTATAGATGTTGAGAGTTGGACAATAAAGATAGCTGAGTGCCGAAGAATTGATGCTTTTAAATTGTGATGTTAAAGACTCTTGAGAGTCCTTTGGACTGCAGGGAGATGCAACCAGTCCATCCTAAAGAAAATCAGGCCTGATATTCTTTGGAAGGACTGATGTTGAAACTGAAGCTCCAGTGCTTTGGCCACCTGATGCAAAGAGCTGACTCATTAGGAGAGACCCTGATGCTGGGAAAGATTGAAGGTGGGAGGAGAAGGGGACGACAGAGGATGAGATTGTTGGATGGCATCACCGACTCAGTGGACATGAGTTTGAGCAGTCTCTAGGAGTTGGTGATGGACAGGGAAGCCTGGTGTGCTACAATCCATCGGGTTGCAAAATGTCGGGCACAGCTGAGCGACTGAACTACGTGGCTGGTCTTCCCATTTTCCACCACAGTGTCCTTAAGAAAACAACATTAAGTGGTTTCACTGTGGGTATATTTTTGTGCAGGATCACGTAGAGGCTGAAAGAGCTTTTTCTGAATTAACTGAGGGAATGCAGGAGAGACTTAACTAATTCTGAATTTTTTTCCTAATTCTTTTTTCATCTTTAAGCAATTCCATTTCTTTTTAATTATCTTTGAGGGAATCTTTGAACTTTTTGTCTTTTATAGTCTTTTTATTTATAATGTGAGGTATAAGAAAACATTTCCTGTACCTCTAGACCTTTAGTTTCTGTGGTGGGATGCAATTACTTGTTTTTATTTTAGTACTCTTGTGTGCATACTTCCCTGTTCATAAAGTCAACTAAGGTATGAATTATTTTGCAGCAGAAGCTTTGCTTTGTTATTTCCTTCTTTCAGCTGAGGATTATGAATTTACAGAATATTTTCTGAATGAATTTAATAATGTTCAATTAAAATTTTTAATGCAGTTTATAATTCTCTGAGTAGAGGAAACTTTTTGCTTTACAGTTACATGAAGTATAAAATAAAGACGTCAGTTATTCTTCTCCATGTGCTGTGCTTGGTCATTCAGTTGTATCTGACTCTCTGAGACCCCATGGACTGTAGCCCGCCAGGCTACTCTGTCCATGGAGATTCTCTAGGCAAGAATACTGGAGTGGGTTGCTATGCCTTCCTCCCAGGGATCTTCCCAACCCAGGGATCGACCTAGGTCTCCCACAATGTAGGCAGATTCTTTACCATCTGAGCCACCAAAGGGAAACCCAGGATTTGCTCTCCATATCAAAATGTAAACATTTATTATTCAGGTTAAAAACAAAGACTGAAATAATGGTATCAATATCGCAAAATAGTATTTTCGTATTTAAAATTAGCATAATATCCTGGATAACCAAACCAGTATTAAAATTACTTTGTGTAAATTGTTAGCTATATTACTTTTAATACTAGTATTTGTTTAATGAGAGAATTGAATACTTTTTTATTTTGGAATTTTCCTAAAGATCGAGAAAGCAGTTTAGTAATGCTTATGGCAAAATGTCACCTGGAGTATGAAGTCAAGTGGGCCTTAGGAAGCATTACAATGAACAAAGCTAGTGGAGGTGGTGGAATTCCAGCTGAGCTATTTCAAATCCTAAAAGATGATACTGTCGAAGTGCTGCCCTCAGTATGCCAGCAAACTTGGAAGATTCAGCAGCGGCCACAGGACTGGAAAGATGAGTTGTTCCAGCGCCAAAGGAGGGTGATGCCAGAGAACATTCACACTGCCGGCTGTGCGGTTGCGCTCATTTCACGTGTTAGTAAGGTAGTGCTCAGAATCCTTCAAGCTCGGCTTTAATCGTTCGCGAATGGAGAACTTACATATTTACAAGCTAGGTTTAGAAAAGGCAGAGAAATCAGAGGTCAAATGGCCAATATCCTTTGGATCATAGGGAAAGCAAGAGAGTTCAGAAAAACGTCTCCTTCTACGTCATTGACTACACTGAAACCTTTGAATGTGTGGATCATAATCTCTATGGACAGAGGAGCCTGGTGGGCTACAGTCCATAGGATCACAAGGAGTCGGACATGACTGAAGTGACTGAGCACGCACACATACTGATATTTCATCAGGTTTGTGGTGAATTATTGATTATTGATTGATTTGGTCATTTTTTCATTCCACAGACTGTACCAGCTCAAGGCTTGGGCTGACCAGTACAGGATCCATTAGGCAATGTGGTTATTTGAATT